GTATCTTTAGATATCAAATAAAAAAGTACGAAAAGCCCATAGTTAATTTACCTACAAAATTGACAACATAATTATCAAGACCAGATCAAATCCGTGACTGGACAAGCTGCTGATTGTTGTCTTGGTCAGTATGGTTCGAAATAAATATCAGTTTCAGTCGAAAAAAGGGTGACTTTTCTATTTTTTCTGATCAAAATCCCTTAGCTCCTTATCCTCATATCACTAAGTGATTTTTATTCAATACTCGAAAGTCGGAACCAAGAAAACGATTTCTCCTATCCACTATAACGCATTTGCTGTGTTGTTTGTCTTTGTGACATTGTCTTTTATATTTCTCCATTTATGTTCTTTCCTAATTTGTACCTTCGACTTTCTTATTTCTCATTTTCCATTTACTCACACGGTTTCTTATTTTATTTTTTATTTTCACATTATTACTTTTTTTTAAGGATAAGATGACCATTTTTTTTACCTTTCAGTTTACGAGTTCTCATTAAAGAGCTTGTGATTTCCTTGTGAGTTTCCTTGATTTCAGTTTCATTTATCTTTTTATTATTTATTTATTATGGATCTCAATATTTCTTATAGTCTTGAAAACCAAGAGATCAATGCTGCCGGGTCTTATTCTTTAAAAAAAGAAGAAGAAAAATACCCGGTTAAATATAATTAAATTATTAACTATTTAAGATATTACCCATTTTCAACTATTCCTACTCATGATCATATGATCGATTGTTTAAAATTAAATAAAGAGTATAAGTAAATTGTTGAATACCTAAAATGCATGTTGATAAATTTCCCTATTAAGAAGAGTGAGTGTTCTTTTCTTTTGGTTAGGTAAGCTTAGATTGTTTTATAAGAAAAATAAAGACCCTGGAGGCATATGGTCATCTACCTAATTTTGAGATGCAACCTTCTTGACATGACATTCTTAAAAAACGCGGCAAGATATTGCATAGAGAGTAGAGACAAAATGTTGGAAATTTCCAATAAATTTTGATAAATTTCCAATAATGACTTTGAGCATAAGAACAACCTTAGCTTACCAAAATTTCCCAAAATTTCCAAACTTTCCGATAAGTCTATTTAAAGTGAGTATTTAGAAACTCAAAGTATATTTTTTCGATAAATTTTGATAATAAATTTCCAAGTGTTCATGACTCCACTAGATCTACACTAATTTTTTGAGCTTTAAATTGCATATTTAGTGGACAAAATGTTGGAAAATTATCGAAAATACACTTAAATTTTAAAAATATGAAAAAGTTTATATAGAGCTGAGGCTCTAAACAATCAAATTAAAACTCACCTCAAAAATTCCACTAGAAGAGGTTGTTTTGATGCTCAAATATCCTCAAATTGATCATCTCAACATCAAAATGTATGGACATGAAAAAAAATGGATTTCCAGTTTTGGAAATAGTACATCTTGTAACTCATTTTTGAATTATCAATTTTTAAGATTTTCAAATTTTCATAGATTTGCTCGATCTACATTATTTTTGAAGCTTTAAATTTTATAATTAAAGATGAAAATATATTTTAAGGCTATCACAAAAATTTACAATATTGAAACCATATTTCGCGACACTATTTAAAGATGCGCTTTACTTTGATTGTTTAGAGCCTCGACTCTATACAACCTCACCATCAAGAGTATAACATATGTATTTTCATAAATTTCTTAATAAGTTTTCAAGCCGTCATAAGAGTTTATGGTATTGGAACTGAAAGAAAGACATATGCGATCATTTACCGGGGAATATATATATATATATATATATATATATATATATATATTGACAAAAGATCACTTATATGTGGTCTTTATTATAATAAGATAAATTTCAAAATAAAATCAACATAACAATAAAACTAAGATATTAACAACTTGATACGGTTGAAACAACTATGCACTATGCTTGAGAATAAAAGATAATATTACAAGAAACAAAAGAAGAGTGCCGGAGATTACCTCAACCAGGTTTATTACACCCACACCGAGTCCCCACCATCCAATGACGCAAGATCAACGGTCAAATAGGGAAAGCAAATTTCGGGCAAGCCACACCAATGAAATATGAATCCCTTTGATCACAAACTCGAACCCTAGGTGAATTCTCTTAGCAACTTAGTTTGAGAGAGATGGATTATCTTTTTGCTAAACCCTAAACTTAGCCATAAATCCATGTTTGAGATATAGGAGAGAAGAACTCCATGACCTAGACCCTAAGGTTCTTTCACAATGTGGGAGAGAAATATCAAACATGCTAGAGATAAACTTTCTTAAGAGAGAGATACAAAGATAAGGTGTAGAGATTTTTTTGGTAAAGACAATCCCTTTTTATAGGCTTTGAATAAGATTAGGGTTTTCTTTGGCTTGCATCTTCTTGTGAGATTGAACATAGACCGTCGATCAAGGGTGACTTATGGGATGAGAGATCTGAGCCATCCATTCCATAGATGGACTATCAACATTATGGAAGGTGCATGAACCATTATCCCCTTGTCCTGAACTATTTTCCCATCAATAGAAATTAAATAAATTAAATATAATCAAAATATTATACATACTATAAAATAGCACAAGTCTACTTAATCTTTTCACTAAATCTCTCCAATATGTATAAAGACGATATTTAGTCAATAGCTTCCAACCATATGGCCACATGTTATATCACCAAATATAGGAAGAGAATAATGGCGGGGCGTGCCACCCAAGGGAGGCACTCATGGGCCCCACATTCTAAAAATATGGTAAGCTCATGTGCACAATGGGCCTCCATGATATTTTTATATATTTAAAATTAATAAAAAGATTTTAGAATATTATTTAAATATTTAAATAATTGTAAAATCAATATATTTAATTTTATAAATCTAAAAATTATAAATAAAATATCCAGATGTTCATAAAATTTTAAATAATAATCTTAAAATAATTTCCATCATAAAACAAGTACAATTAAATTAATTTGATGGGAAAATGATCAATATGGTTTAAGAATCTACAATCATGGGGCACTCTACCTTCAACTGTGGACTACAGACCACACTTGCTTTATCAGACTGACCCAGTGTTTCTCATTACTCACATTCCAATCAGGGGCTCATTAGCAGGTCACCAAAGTTCGACCGATGAGCCAAGGGATCACAATCCCAGTCTGTGGATTTCAGGTCCTCCCCTAAAGACGAGTCAAGTCACCTAGATTTGACGCGACCATAGCTCCTATGGTGCATAGGGGTATCTCTCGCACATGCATACGCTTCACCCTAAAAGGTGGATTTCTGGCTTTTTCGAATGATCTATCGATATGCATGCCGTGTGATGACACATGGATGAGGCTTTGGCCCCCGTCTCTGTAGGCCGCCATCACACACAAGGGTTACACAGTCCCTTGGCTCACTCATCCGGGCATATTCTCCGACCTCATCAAGAGCTAACTCATTAGAACCCTTCTCGGTTTATTCTTTATACCCAGGTAACATGGGTTTTTCCCAACCGACTGGCTTAGATCGTTAAGTACAGTCCGGTATCTACAAACATCGTTTGCTTAGTATGGCCCACGAGGGACCACACTCCCATTGAATTCATATTCCACTATATCATTTCATTTTACAAGCACTCATAAGGCCTTTAAAGGTCACATAAACCCAACAGGAACTACATCTTTCAACAACATTTAACATTTGGAGGTGCGCCTTATATATTGCATCCGTGTGGGCTTGTATGAGGTGCCCATCTTAAACAATCAGCGTAAAGCACAACACCAAACCTTGATAAAAATGCAGTTTCGGTGTCAAAATTTTCCAGATGGTCTCAAAATTCATTTATCCCCTTAATTATAAAATTTAAATCTTTAAAAATAGTGCAGATCAAGTAGATCTATAAATATCTTAAAATTGATGATCCATATAATATGTTACAAAATGCATTATTTTTAATACTCGAAGTCCATTTTGTTTTTCCATATCCAACATCTTGAAGTCAAGATGATCAATTATTAAACTTTTCACCATCAACAACCTTTTTTGATGGGCTTTTTGGTTCACCTCACTTTTATAACATAAGATTAATGAGCTTCTTGCAATATATATGATAAAATGGGTGGGGTTTGTATAAGGTGCACACCTTACACTAAACAAGTAAGGAGCATCTCTAAATTTCATAGGAAGATGTGGTTCTAGTATTAGATACCCTACAACGGCTTGAAATTCATATTCAACACTAAATTTTAAATTTCAAATTTCGAAAAAGTGCAAATCGAGCATATCTAAGAAAATTTGAAAATCTTAAAAATTACAATCCAATGACATTATAAAATACGTATACTTTTTAGCACTTATATTTTTTATTTTATTTTTTAATCTATGCATATTGAGGTCGAGATGATCAATTAGAAAGTTTTACGACTGAAGAACACTCTTTTTAAGTATATTTTGGAGGTGCACTTTAGTTCTATAGTATAACAACCTTATATAATTTTTTTTTATTTTTTATTTATAATTAATGTATAGAAAAGGTTTATACAAGGCTGCAACCTTATATTACAAAAGTAAGGTGCATCTAAAAATCCAATAGAAGATAATGTTTAGAAGTTGTAAAACCTTCAAGTTGATTATCTCAACCTTAAGATGCATGGATAAATATAATAATAATAATTTCAAATACTAAAAACAATTCATCTTATAATAACAATTATCTGGGCCAATTATTTTAATGATTTTTAAGTGTATAGATCTACTCGATCTACATAATTTTTGAAAATGAAATTTCATAAATAAAGTTTAACATAGATTTTCGAGCCATCATAATGTCTGTAACACCAATACTATGGCAAAATTTAAAGGTGCGTCTTAGTAGTATAAGGTGGGCACCTTGTATAACCTCACCCTGTATATATATTGCCATGGTTTTGTTGCTGTAACCCAATAGATTGGACGGCGATGGATCAACATATTGCTCTACTGTTCAAGAAGGAACGGTGATATTCTAATGGTCACGAGTTCGAGCGAATGATATGGATCACCATGGGGGAGCCCTAGAAATTGAAAAGAGTGACCTTTTTCCCTCCCAAAAAGCGCCAAAGGTGAGCCCTAGAAATTGAACACGCGGATTCTCGGGGACCAAAATCACTGCAACAACCATGTCCCATGGTAATCCTTCTCAGCTTCTCCCATCAGGTATCTCTCGTTCTCTCTCTAACCATTTTTTGAAACTCTCTCTTCCATAGTATCAAATTTCAGGCCCTCCTTTTGTTTATCTCTCTCTGTTTTCAATTGTGGAGTGCTAAAAGGGATCATTTGCAGAGCTAATCGATCGGTGCATTGGATCAAAGATATGGGTTATAATGAAAGGGGATAAGGAGCTCGTTGGAACACTTAGGGGCTTTGATGTCTATGTCAATATGGTCCTGGAAGATGTCACTGAATAGTGAGTTTCTCTTTGTTTTTCATTATGGATTTCACGGGTAAACTGGTTTAATGTTTCGAGACCTTTTTGTTTATCCTGAGCTAGGGTTCTCTGTTATTTTATTTTTCTTCGTTTTCTGTTTTTTCATGTACTGACATTGAAACAAAGTTTCGGGGTCTTTTTCTTCTTTCTTGATAAATTTAATTAAATACTTTAGGAACAGACTACTACTGCTGCTGCTACTACCACTGCTACTATTATTATTATTGTTACTGTTATTACTGCTATTATTATGATATTGTAATGTTGATTAAGGAGGAAGCATTGCTTTATTTTGGATTAGGAGACCTCTTATTGGGTGTTCTTAATTGCTCGTGGGTATTTGATACGAATGCTCGGTTCTCTAAATTCTAAGGGCATGTTTGTTTAGTCCGAAATCTCCCTCCAGGAAAAAAAATGTGTTGATCGAGCTGTTTTACCATGTTTGGTTCGAGGGAATTCACTTGCTGTGACAATCTCCTTGAAGCATGCCACCATACAAAATGTTGTAAATCTTTTCTGTTTCATGGGAAAGCGGCTTCATGAACAAGGAGGTATGAAGCTGATTTGTTTGGAAATCTCCCTTGTGGAGAGAGATTTCAGATTTCACCAAATGCCCCCTAAATCTTAGTTTTTCTCTCTTTTTTCTGAACTCTCAGTAGATATCAAATTTTGCGGGTTTGTTCTTACCGTTTGGTTTATCCTGGGAAATTATTTCTATGGAGTGGGAGTAGTATTGCATCTAATGATCTAGCGTAGCAGTGATTTTTAACTTTCAAACAATGAATTTTTGTACATCTTGAGTTTTAGACTCTTTTCGTGGTGGTCAAGGTTGCAAAACCACACAGCAAGATGGCAGTGTTGAAATATAAAAGTTTGGCCTTCCAGTATTTGGGTACCAAAAGTAAATCTAGCAGCCCCAAAGATTAGAATGGTAGGATTATCCTTTATCTTGGACAGAAGATCGAATTGCAGCCATATTTTGATAGCAATTTATGGTAGAAACTACTTGAAATGGTCGAGAAAAGAATTGTCCTAAACCAGGTTTTCATGCTCCGGGGATGGTATTAGAGCTGGGCCTGCTCCATGAATGGTATTTACAGTTGGTAAAAAGAGGTATTTTTATATACAATATTAGTGCTTCTAGTAAAGGACTTCATGGTAAAATTGCAGAAGAAAGGGGGAGAACCTAAAGATATCCATGGGTCCAAATTCCCAATAGTATAACTTTTTAATAAATCAATAATTCAATATCATTTAGGTAGATGTTCTTTTTTTCAATTAAATTTACGAAATCACTTCCAGCAACCATTAGTGCAAAAAGCCCTTGTTAAACCAATGAATGAGTCTCTTTAGAGAGAGAAGATATTAGTGGAAGATGTGAGAAATTTGGTGCTTCGTGGTGTGATTTTTCAAAAGAAGCATTATGAAATTGAAAAACTTGTTCTTTTGGTCACCAGTTTAGATGTAGGATGAGAATTCATGTATCAGTTGCTAGAATTAACCTCCTAATGGTATTAATTGATTTGGAAATCAAAATATTGAGAGTTTGGATGGGTGTAGCTCTTGAAGAATAACCTTTCTTCGTCAATGTTTTTAATGTGATTTATTGAATTATGGACTATAGCATCATATTTACAGAACCTATTTTTAGGATACATGCTATTCACCAACTGTGCAAACAAGGACTTACGCTTTTAACCTATGTAACAATAAAAGCGTGTTTGACACGTTTTGAGGTGTCAGACATGGACACGGTGTCAGACATGGACATCATGTCATGTGACACATGGTTATGCATTCCACGCCCAACTGAATATATTAAGTCACTAAGACACTAACTATTACTTTACAATAAGACTTCAATGAATAACTGAATATATAAGACATTTTAAGATTTTAGTTTTACTTTCAAATAAGACTTAACCCATTAAGATATCACGTAATCAATTATTTATCAAATAAACTAAAACAAAAAAATAGAATATCAAAATACGGCACATTGTACAAAAAAGGAATTAATTACTCATAAAAGAATACGATATATGCTAAATTTCATCGTCCAAGTGAGAAAAAAAATCAATAAATCACCAAACAATCAATCTTTTAACTACAAATATATAAACATGACGTAAAAAAAAAGAAAAAAAAAAGAAAAAACACATGATTCATAACATAATATGTTGTAGCAAAATAAAATAAAATATGATGTGATAATACTTTAAAAATATCAAAATCAAATCGATGTCGGTGTAAACCTTGTCTATTGGATCGCCAAAAGTTCTCAAAATCAACTATTAGAAGCTCCAAATCCACCCATGAACTATTGCATTCGTCTTGGGAAGAAATTGAAAAAATAAAAAATTTATCGACCTTTCGAAAAATCACAAAAGCGTGGTTTTTGAGGGGTATTTCTCACATGAAAGGCCACGAATTCTATTGGGGATTTGGAAGACGCCCTAAAACCCTCTTCCCCGGGGAAAAAATTACATTTTTTACCCTCACTTGAGGGTTTTTTTCTGCCGCCCGCAAGTTATCACGGGTGCTGCCTAGGCAGGCGGCCAGACAATAGCGCCCAGGCGCCACCCAAATCGCCTAGGCAGGTGCCCAGAAGCAAAAACGCCTAATGCACCCGCCTAGACTGCGCCTAGACCTTTTGAATTTTTTTTTGCTTAGGCGGCCGCCTAGGCAGTCGGGCGGCAGAATTTCCGAACATTGTCTTAAGTTGTGAGACAAGCATGTCTTATGACTAAGACTCACATGTCAGTTGTATGAGACACTTGTCTTGAGTTTTCTGTGGAGTTTTTTAAATAAGGGAAATTTATCAAATTGCCTATGAGAGATGAACAATTCAACACTTTATCCATATATTTTGATGTAATTTCAAAATAACCATGGAAAGAGACATGGTCATGGGTTGGAATAGTTCCAATTGGACAAAATGTTGAATACTTCATCTCTAATGGTATTTTGATAAATTTCCCTTTAAATAATAGTTGTTTAAACCAAGTTTTGCTTATTTGCATCGTTACAACTTGTTATTTGTTATCAGTAAGATGTAAGTGTCTAAGTGATAATAACTTCAGGAAATGATCTATACCCCTCCACAAAAAAATATCGGTCCATTTTGACCCTAGGGTCCATGTAAAGCCTGTGAACCCCTGTGAACCCCCGCCAACTTTATTTTATTGGACCAAAATCCCCCTCCCTCCCTTTCCCAAAACACCATTTTTGAACCAAAAACTCACAGGAAATCTGTTTAAGTGAGGTTTCTCAATGAGTGAAAACCAGATGGAATCTTGCTGGAAAGTCGGTTTCTGGCAAATGTAAACCTCCATAGAGATACTCATTCTGTGAGGCTCTTTGGTCTCTTAGAGGAGAAGCTATCAGAAAAGAGAATGAGCTTGTAAAACTAGTTTTTGTGGCACATGGAGTCAGGTATAGGCCCCAGAAGCTTGTTTGCAGAGACATCGAGAACTCAAAGATTCGAATTCAGGCCTAATCGAGAAAGCAAATTTCCTGTAAATTAATTGTTCCATAGAAGAAGAGATTCCATAGTTGAAAGCTTTGTCATTCCTTGTGGTACTTGACCATTTAAGTTATTTTTCAACATGCTAAGAAAGGTAAGCTCTTTAAGCTTAGAATAGCCAATTGACACCTCGCCTGAAAGTTGGTTATCAGAAAGGTTGAGAGAGAGAGAAGAGGTCGAGTTGTAGAAACTAGCTGGAACCTCACCAAGAAACTGGATTTTGAACAAAAAACAGATGCTATTTCACCAAGGTTGCCAATATCAGCTGGCAAAACACCTTGTCGAACTACTTGAGCTTTTGCAACTTTTCCAAACTGAGCCGGTATTCCTCCATTAAAGCTGTACCCAATATTTGAATGCGCAAAAAAGCGAGAACCTTTCAAGAATCCAAGCTCTAATGGAATTTTTCCTGTAAACAAATTTCCAGCCAAATCGCCAAAACTTGCCAGAATACTGCCTTTGAAGAAACTCCCAAGTTGAGGATTTCTAGAGAGAGAAGATGGAGTAAGTCATATGGTAATGATCCTGTGAACTTATTGCGGAATGCATTGAAATGGGCCAGTTCTTTTAAGGCACTTCTGCCTAAAGGGAAGGTGGTGTTTGCAATGTTGTGGCTTAGATCAATGCTTTTGAGGTTTAAGAGAGAGGAAATGGAAGTTGGGAATGGGCCTTACGCCATTGGTACTGAAATTGAGGTGTTGAAGGTGGACTGAAAGCAAATTAGAGTTTATAAAACTGACCCATTTCAAACAACTCTAGTGCTAAAAATTTAGTTGAAGAACAATTTGAAAGGTTTTTGTGTGAGAGATCCATTGAGATGATGTGAGTGGTGCTGGGTTTGCAAGAATTTTAGGACCAGTTGCAAAAGGTTGGTATCAGAGAGCCATGAAGGTATTAAGGATATGAGAGCAAGGAGAGAGTTGGAGAGTGGGTGTTGAGGGGAGAGAAAGGGGGAGGAGAGAGAAAAGGAGAGAAGGTTTTTGGCCAAAAATGGTCTTTCTGGGGGGTGCCCCTGGGGGGAGGAGAGAGTTGGATAGGATTGGTATTAAAGAAAGGATGAGGATATCTCAGTAATTTGGATGTGCAAAAAGGTGGCAACTGTGGATTTGGTTCGATAGAATTAAGTTGGAGCCTTGGAGGGCAACTATTTTATGTGGATCCATAGGTCTTTAAGTGGACGACAACTTTTTGGGGAGGGGGTCAACGCCATTTTCCTAATAATTTTTTACATGCCAAAATAAATCTATAACAATAAAAAGAAATATGCTAAGAATTATATAATCGCGTTACGCTATGAATTTTATTTTATTTTGCACATTTGATTGTGCTGAAATTTTGAGGGTTTTGCACCTCATTTGGGTGCGTCTTAGAAAAATAAAAAAAATTCTAAAATAAGAAATTGATCAAAATACCCTATAACATTTCAAGGGCATTTTGATCATTTTATTGTTAG